GCTTGTCTTTTGTTGCACTGTAAGTAAGTGGAGTGTATATTTTAGTTTCAGGGGAGGTGAGAATAATTTTTAAAATAGAGAAGACTATAATTTGGATGTCTTTCTAAACAAGGGAGGGCAATTTACCAAATTTTAATGGTGTGTGCATTTATGCCCATGCGATTGTATGTTTTCATGGATAATACTATGTAAATAATTCAAATGGTTCACGTCAAAATTTCGCTGAGTTTCAGTACATATCAATTTATTTAATAATTTGTTGGTATATTCTGAAATGGATTAGAAACATTTTTTACCCAAATTGAATTGTTTGGGTCAACAAGTTTTGAGATAGAAAATATGTAAGGCCATGGGGGGAGATGTTCTCGTTCATCTCCAAAATGGGGATTGCTCCAAAAATGACATCTATGGGTTCTTCATGGAAGATGGATAGACAGATAGATCACAAAAGCCTCTCAAAGAAGATATATAGATAGATAATTGATAGACACAGAAACAACAAGCCTGCAAGCTTATTTTTCCGTATAAAGCTTATTCATGGTGACATATGTTAATGTAAAATTGGCAGCCCTCTGATTAACCAAGGGATTGCCTTATACATGGTCTCTAGTTACACTCTTATTTTTCCTTAATCAGGTCATATCCTTTTTTTTCTTTTTCTTTTTCTTTTTCTTTTGGGGTGTATTAGCCAGTGGTTAGGCAACTGAATTTACACTTTGTTTTGATGCAAGCTTAGCAGAGATTGAGAAAATATATGAAATTGCGAGAAATGGTTCAGATGAAGACAGGATTTCTGCTGCTACCATTCTTTGTGGGGCATCTCTTGCGCGTGGTTGGAATGTTCAGGTAATCCTGACACCCATTTTATTTGGCTTTATTCAGGAAGTCTCTCGAGAGGGAAGACTATTTTTGTGTGCTTAGTTTATAGCTATCCTTTTGCTCCCTCTCTTGTTTTTCTGTCTGCTCTTTCTTTCAGGTTTGGAATAATTATCTTTGTTTGCAGGAACACACCATTATTTTTATCACGCTGTTGCTCTCCCCTCCAGTTCCTCCTAATTACCGTGGGACTGAAAGCCATCTGATCAGTCAAGCTCCATTTTTAAATGTCCTTCTCATTGGAATTTCATCTGTCGACTGTGTGCAGATTTTCTCCTTACATGGCTTGGTATGTTTTCTGTACTCTACATGTTCATGGCGGCTACCATTCTTCTGTCCAGAAAAAACAAGAGAGAAAAGGGATTTTAAAAATAGAAATGAAAATGGCAAGTTTGTTCCCTTCATTTGGGAATTTCCTATTGATCCACTTCTACCTATGGTATCTTGTTTGCACAACTAATGGAGGTCGGGCTAGTGTAGTAAACAACTAGCTATTATCATGTGCAACTTTTTGGATGATATATGCAGTGATTTTGTCAACTACTTGCAGGTTCCGTTACTTGCTGGTACACTAATGCCAATATGTGAAGCTTTTGGAGCATGTGTTCCAAATGGCTCATGGACGCTTGCTAGTGGAGAAGAGCTCTCTTGTCACACAGTGTTCTCAAATGCATTCACTCTTTTGCTTAGGTTATGGCGTTTTAATCGTCCACCTGCTGAACATACTATGGGGGGTGCAGCAACCCCAGCATTAGGATCCCAGCTAGGTCCTGAGTACCTTTTGTCTGTTCGGAATTGTTTATTAGCATCCTTTGGAAAGTCACCAAGAGATCGAATGAAATGCAAAAGACTGTCAAAAATTATTACGTTCTCCGCAGAACCTCTTTTTATGGAATCCTTTCCAAAATTAAACTTATGGTATCGGCAACACAAAGAATGTATTGCTTCAACCCGCACTGGTCTCCCACCTGGAGGGCCTATTCATCAGATTGTTGAAGCACTTCTGAGCATGATGATTAGGAAGATAAATAGAGGTACTCAATCTGTAACACCTACAACTTCGGGAAGCAGCAATTCATCCGGGTCTGCATATGATGATGCTTTGATGAAACTGAGAGTGCCTGCCTGGGATATCCTTGAAGCCACTCCATTTGTGCTTGATGCTGCCCTTACAGCCTGTGCTCATGGAAGACTCTCCCCTCGTGAATTGGCTACAGGTTTTCCCTGCTCTCAAATGTCATCTTACTTTCTTTTTTGGCCAAAACAAAATTCATTTTATTGATAACAAAATAATAGGGTACGGTCAAAATGTCATCTTGCTTATTTTATTTTATTTTTTTTGCTAGGTTACTTTTTAAGCTATATTTCTGACCTAAACTATAAGAATGTCACTAATAGTGGATTTTTTTTTGGGGGGGGGGGGGTTCACATTTGGTGCCTATCACGACAATGGGCACCGCGTGCTTATTGCTTTCATAAAATCAGGACCATCCAAATTTAGTTTTAAATATTTATTAGCGGAAAAAAACTTGATGGAAAACCCCAACAGAAGTCGCCCTGTTGTTCATTGAGAATTTGCATTCTTTTAAGTTGGGGTTGAAAACTGCTCAAGTATATGTTGATATTGGAAGCATAAGTTTGGATAATAAACATATTGGACTGTCGATGCTTACTTCTCCTAGGATTATATTTTTGCCTTTTGCTTTCTAATTTTTATTTTCTTTTTGTCTCAGGCCTCAAAGATCTTGCTGATCTCCTTCCAGCAACTTTGGCTACTATCGTAAGTTACTTTTCAGCTGAAGTAACACGAGGCATATGGAAGCCAGCTTATATGAATGGAACTGATTGGCCTAGTCCGGCAGCAAACTTATCTATGGTTGAGCAACAGATAAAGAAAATTCTAGCAGCTACAGGTGTTAATGTCCCAAGCCTTCCTGTAGGTAATTCAACTTAGCTTTCTTTTTGGGTTCTCTTGAAACATTGATTTTTTGAGTATCAGAAATCCTTACATGCCTTTGTTACAGAGATCAATTAATATTTTCTTTGCTCGTGTTTTCAGCATTTATGTCAATTTCACTCTCTATGCTTGTTTATGTTTAGTAGAAAACACAAGGTTCTTTAAATCAATCTGTTGATGCTAAATTTAACTCTTGTGCAAGCAGGTGGTAACTCTCCAACTACCCTTCCTCTGCCATTGGCTGCTTTTGTAAGCCTGACAATAACTTATAAACTCGACAAAGCTTCTGAGCGCTGCCTTGTCTTGATTGGTCCAGCTATGAATGCTCTTGCTTCTGGTTGCCCCTGGCCATGCATGCCCATTGTTTCTTCTTTGTGGGTCCAGAAGGTGAAACGTTGGAGTGACTTCCTCGTATTCTCTGCTTCTGCAACTGTCTTCCACCACAGCAGGGATGCCGTAGTTCAGCTGTTAAAAAGTTGCTTCACCTCAACCCTTGGACTTGGTTCTGCCTCCATTTACAACAATGGTGGTGTCGGGGCGCTTCTTGGTCATGGATTTGGTTCCCACTTCTCCGGTGGGATGTCCCCAGTTGCTCCTGGGATTCTCTACCTAAGAGTGTTTCGGTCCCTCAGAGATGCTATGTTCTTGAACGAGGAAATTGTATCTCTTTTGATGATTTCTGTCAGAGATATAGCAAGCAGTGGTTTGCCCAAGGGACAGGCAGAGAAACTAAAGAAGACAAAATATGGAATGAGGCATGGACATGTTTCCCTTGCCACATCAATGACTCGTGTCAAGCATGCTGCTCTACTTGGGGCCTCATTGGTTTGGATATCAGGTGGATCAGGCCTGGTTCAATCTTTAATGAAGGAAACTCTGCCATCCTGGTTTTTATCAGAAAATGGATCGGAGCAGGAAGGCGGAGGAGAATCTGGACATGTGGTTGCCATGCTTAGAGGCTATGCGCTGGCATATTTTGCGGTGCTCTGTGGAGCATTTACTTGGGGTATTGACAGTTCATCAATATGGCCAGCATCACAACGAAGACCGTCCATTCTTGGGTCTCATTTGGAATTTGTTGCTAGTGCCCTGGATGGGAAAATATCACTACGATGCGATTGGGCCACATGGCACGCATATGTGTCTGGGTTTCTGAGCTTGATGGTGCGCTGCACGCCTTTGTGGGTCCAGGAAGTAGAGGCGGATATGTTAAAGAGACTGAGCAACGGATTGAGACAACTGAATGAACCAGACTTGGCTCTCCGCCTTTTAGAAATAGGAGGAAAACGTGTCATGGGTGCTGCAGCTGAAATGATAATTGGAAAGAAGTTTTGATTGATCGGAACTTGCAAGCTGATGGATGAATCACATGTTGTCCTGTTTCCCTCTTGTGCAGGTGTGGATAAAGATGGAGGTTTTATATTCTTTTTTCTACCTCCCATAGGACATCTTGCGCCATACATGGCATAGCAATTCAAGGTTCTGATAGAACCAACGAAGCCTATGGTCAGGATGGGTATCGTCTGTTTAAGAGAACTTCATATCTTGCACGCTAACATGACCTGGGCTAAACTACGGTTAGGTTGCAATGATCTGGTTATTTCTTTTCCGTCTATTCACACTACCCCAAAGTATTGCAACTTGAAGGCAGCAACAAATTTCAATTAGATTGGTTTTTCCCCTTTACATTTTTGGGCACTCTATGGCAATGCCCTTCACTGCGTTGCTAGCTTTTATTAATTAGAAGAGCTTTTGGGTTTTAATTTCACACAATTTATAGATGTACATAAGTTGTCTCGTGTTAGGGACGTTCCGTGTATGTTTAACAGAGATGACAGATATGTTTCCAACTTCATGACAGTTATGGTTGAGAGACGCCACCATTTTCAGACACGTGGACGCCGCAGAAAGTGTTTGACTTCTGTTCAATTTTGTTTTCCAGCCTTCGATCCGTCAAATTGAAAAGCAATCGGCACAAGAAAAGACTACAATAGAGAACGGTGAGGTCGTCATAAAACTTAAAGAATATAGTGTTAAACATAATTCAATAGAACTCCGGTCAAAAAAAAAAAAACAAACATAATTCAATAGAACCATACAAAAATTTTCATTCATTCCCTACAACTAAAACCACAAAAAAAAAAAAAAAACAAATGGATTGCGTCAGGCCGGAAAAAGCAGAAATTTGTTGAGTGAACAGGTGTGGCTCTAGATTTTTTTCTTCCCTCGCTGTATGCTTCATTCTAGATTTTGTCTGAAGGCCAGCTAGAATTGGAGAAAGGATGGTATTTTTGTGGTGACGAAAGAAGAAATATACACGGCAGGGAATTGGACGTGCTACGTAATTCCTAAACTCTATTGAACATGAGCGGTTAACTACTATTCAAGTCATTCTTTGATACTAGGACATCGAGTGATGTTACCCGCCATAGGCGTAATCGAAGCCTCGGAACTTCCGACCTCAGATTGTTGCTTGCTACTTCGGCGAGCTCTCTTGGTTTGGATGAGTGGATTGTTCTCTTCCTCGTCGATAATTTGTGGTTTGTCCAAAACACCTCCCTTGAAATCTGGGTGTATGTAAGCATCCTGAAGATACAATCTCATGTTGAGAGTTGGTTCGATTGCCTTCTCAAGTGTATCCTTTATCATTGCATCCTGTGATCAAAGTCATATCAATGCAATTGTTACTCAATCGCGTTATTTACCACCAACAGTCCCAGGCATCGTGCTCTTCTCTTTGCATCAACGAAGAACTCAGAGAGTTCCGTAAAGCAAACTTAGCAGATAAAAATAATGATTCAAAGTATTCTGCCACTTAACAACCTTGGACCCATAACAAAAAGTAAAGTATTAATTACCTCACGCCATTAATATAAAAACTAGTTGATTAATTTAAATAGATTAAAAAGGTGTTTGGGTAAGATCAAAACCATGATCTCAGAAATGCTTTTACGGTATACGAAATAAATATGTGGAAAAATTTGCCTTGATTTGCAAGAAAAGTATTTCTGAAAAGTGCTTATTGGGCTTCCCAAACACTTCCTAAGAAAATTAATTAAATTAGTTATTTGTAATAAATGTGTTTTTTTTCCTAATATATGCTTATTAATCATATGTATTAGCTAGAACTATCATTTGATGAAACATTTAGCATATGCAACTATTACAAGCACTACTTTGGGAAAAAAATAGATAAATATGAGAGAGAAAGTGGATTAGAGTCTTGTATTTATGACCAAATTGAATGTCAAATTAATTCTTATACTAAGTAGCGAGGTTACTCACAAATTAATAAATGGAATTCAATATTTTCAATATTAATTGACTGGTGTGGAAAAATATTATATGCGTGATCGTTACTAACCTCTAATGAAAGTCTAACGAACGCCGATTCGAAGCGCCCTTTGCAATACAAATAGAACCATATTGTAAAAATAGGCTGTGCCACAAGCGCAATCGTCGGCTTATTAGCATCTTTTGTGCTTAACAATCCCATCAAAAGGATTTGAGATATGAACAAGCCAATAAGCACTCGACGATGGACATCTGGCCAAAATGCTGCTGCACTCTCATAACTCTGATGATAGACATTGATGATCTTGTGACAACAAAAATATGCAGGAAGTAACCGTAAAAATGTTGTCCGTAGAGGAAAGACCACTACATTTCTCTCTATTGGTCGTGTTTACATGGTGGTAATTTGTAAAATTTTGTGTTATAAAAAGTGTAAGAGAATTAGGTGTTATTTTAGGAAAGTTGCATGAAATGACTCACCTGATGCCGAAAGACGAGGTAGGCAAAAGCAAAGAAGACGACAATAAAAGGGAGAAGCACAGGCGTTACGGGAGAATAGAGATGGCCCAGCATAAAGTATAATTGTAAGCGAGGTTCATTTACAGCGAAGTTCAAGCTTCCGGGATTCATAGCCTGCTCTCTATCTTGCTCCGTCTTCACCAAGAACGTGTTCTTCAAGTGGAATATAACAAACGGAGTTATTCTTAGGATCTCTGCGGCTATTCCGGACCAACCATCGACCATTATATATGTGATGTAGAATGTGGCTTTCATGGGGACTGTGGCGCCAGCCATTTTTGCCAACCTGTAATATATAGAAGCACCATGCATGGGGCATTAATATTTTTCACTTGACGTCACCAAAGATAAGAGATTGTGTATTGTTAACTCTAATCAGGAACTTACTTTGTTGAATCGCCTTTAACAAACTCTTCGAGTTGTTGAAATGCCGTTCCTGCTACAATGCTCCCAAGGAACACATTGACCAGAACGAAAAGGTAATATTTCGCAGCTGATCTCCTCTCCAAAGATGAAAACGATCTATGTCCTTCTATTTTGGACATAAGCATGACAATTGTTGGAACCATAATAAGGAATATCTTCAATGCTAGACCTGGTAGAAATCCCTGTACGAAAGACTTGACAGATTGCCTGCCAAAAAGCTCTCAGGGCACAACCAAACCAATTACAAATTAATATAAGACAGGACGCACTCCGATTGGAGTTGAGGAAATAAATATGATAGAGGAAGAGCGCTTACTTTTGCAACAGTGGCCGTAAGAATGGAAGACCCTTTTGAATCGCATCAATGTTGGCTAGAGTTTGGACGAATGCTATTGGTATCATAAAGAAGAAGATTAGGAAGAATAAAGCGACAGCCATGAGCAATTTTCGAACGGTGAGCTCAACGTATGGAATAGAGAGATTTTCCCAACAGACATCCCGAGGCTCAGGGGCCCATTCTGTGAGCCAAATACTAGGATTACTAGATTGTTGAGTTTGAGCACAGACAGCTGCCCCCCATCGAGTTCTGAACGAAACAAATGCTGCAGGAATTAGAGCCTCGGGATCCCTTGAAACCCTCGCTCTTTCCGCCTCTTCCTGTTTGAAATTCCATATATGATCAAATTTTTATTATGACCAGTCGAAACACAATGGCAAGAGTTTAAAATTTGGCCAATCATAACTCCGATCCGTGATGACAATGAGCATGGAATTATGACCAGTCGAGACACAACGGCAAAAGTTTAAAAGGTTGAACTCAACAAAATCCTCTCAAACCGTATATATTTTGATAATTTCTTATAGATTTAAATATCTATATATGCCCTCTCGGTGAAAGAGGAGCATATACTCTCGTGCTGTACAATAACTACCAGAATGATAATTTTGTTGCTTCTCCTGTGATTATTCTCACCTGATACACTGACTAGCCATATTTCCAGTTTATTATTACAAAAGCCAAGCTCCGAAACCATGCGGGCGCTTTCCATCTAGCTTCTTCCATTTCCACATAGTCAAATTCTATATTACGACATGAGAGTAGGGCAGGTATTTGATTTAGATCCTATGACTTCTGCAAATAAAGAAGGAATTGTAAACCAAAATGGCCTTACAACTTCATCTTCTTCTGGCCAAAAAAAAAAAAAAGGAACTTCAGCTTCTTCCGTGAAGACTTTTCAAAGCATAGCTTATTTTACATTACTGAGGGTAACGATAGCATTAACGTTGGGTTTCTGTTACTAGGCAGGGCCCACCCCATTACTTATTTTTCCCTCTCTCTCCCCATCTACAACAATGTTGCGCTCAGCAGACAATCCCAGCGGATAACATTGATGATCATTTTCAATTTATTAAGGAAATAACTAAATAGCAATACAATACAAATTTATGAACAACAAATTATTAGTAAGAAAGATGGTATGGACTTGATCATAGTGAACGAAAATCATCACTTACTTCTTCACTCAGCCTGGCAATCTCCGCCGCATAATAATCAATAGCATCGATTCTCTCTCCCCAGAGACCTAGAAAGCCTGTCTATTTGCATGAGATTTCAAATTGCGAAATATAGAAATCATTAGTCATGGTTAACTGACAGATACTCCAAAGCAGAAAAACTATAAAGAATCTCAGTCAGTTCGTATTTTATAACATTGGTATAGGGAAAGATATATACCCGTGTAGTTGGCCTATATGATTGTGAACGGCTTCGTTCAAATTTGTTTTGGTAGTAAGTATGCCAATTTTGTAATTTCTTCTTCTCTGCAACTATTGATGCAAGCTTGTTCGCATTATAGACAGCCTACCGGTTCGAAAGGAAAAACAAAAATATTTTGCCAAACCAGTGAGAATACTAACTAGGTGGCGTTTGATAAGTTGGAAATATAGTTCTATAAGTATTACCCGTGATCTTATGAGATGTTTGAGTATAAAAGTATGGGTTTTAAAATTCATGCTTGAACAGTATAAAAATATTGATATTTTTTTATTTGATTTTCTTTTATGGCTACATTACAATATAATTTCTTTTGTTCCCCCCCCCCCCCCGGGCAAAGACTAATATGTCAAAACAACTGCATTATGCAACAGATTACTGCTTAGCCACTGAAGTATAGAAATAAATCAATTTAAAGTAACATACGTTATGCAACAGATAGTGATCGGGATGATTAACGCAAAAGAAATGTTCGATATGCTCACTGATTGTCTCGTCGGGATCCGGGGGAACATTCCTCACAAGGACCTGCAAATACATTCAAAATGATTTCCAGTGACATTCATGATGTAGGTTTAGGATGGACGAAATCGAATCACACACAAATTGGAAAGTTTGTTGCATCTTTTTGGTCCGTTTCAAAATTTGCAAGTAAAAAGTGCGCATCTAGGCGAAGAAAACAAGGGAAGTTACAAATATATATCAACCTTCATAGAAGATGTTCAAAGAAAGCACACAAAATACAGTCTGAAAGAAAGTTGTCAAAAGGTTAATGCCAATTTAATCTCGCGTAAATACTAAACTAAGGATCCCAGTTAACTGATTATCAATGTATCATTGAAACCCACACACACAAACACACACACACACACACGCACAGAGCGAGCTTACAGTAAATTGGTCTGGACGACGATTTTCGGCTGCCAAAAATCTCAATCTCAAGTCCGTTATAATCTTGTATTCTTTGAAAAGACAATAGCACGTCCAAAATGTGAAGAGATATGACATGCCACTATGCACCCAAAATCTAGAAGACGGCATATGAAAAAAATATATAGTCAGACAGCAAAACATGAGATACGGCATGGAGTACGAAGCAAAAGGCCCTGCACCTAATTATTGTATCACGAGAACATATTGAGAATTCAATATTCAGAATTGTGAATGCAATAAAAACGTGGGTTTCCTGAAAAGAGAGATATTCTAGGTAAGCATTTCTTATTAATAAGTTCTCGTGGGTGAGTTATTTAAGATAGAGAGACAGAAGCTAGCTAGAACTGCTCGAAAGATCTCACATTCTTGATCCAGATGGAATGTTGGATATTGAAATCTTGTCAATATTGCTAAACTTCAAGTCTTTACTGCTTTCCAATGTTTTCCCCATCCAATTAACCGGAACCAAAACAAATAAAGTGGCTACGGTGACTGGGACGAATATCTTCAAGCTGCATAATGATTCAATTGGAGAGGAGTTCAGCATCAGAAGAGGAAAGATGAAGTAAATAGATAAGAGTACATACGCAGATGATGCTGTAATATATTTCAAGCAACTCTTTGGTGTTGTTAGTTCCAGTTAGTTAGAAACATCGTCTGTGACTCACCCAAGAAGATAAATACGAATATACACGGCAGAGTCCAGCCCTGCGTGATCTATAAGCTCTGGTTGCGGCATACTCAATGCTGCGGGCATCCAGCTCAGAAAATTTATGTATGTCCTGACGTCCAGATTGACAAATCTGTTCACAATGTTTCTTCTAGTTGGGCTGCCTCTTATCCCCTTCAGATACCATTTTGGGAAGTAAACCCGATCGTTAACAGGTTGCAGTCGCAACATGGCAAAAGCAAGCAGGAAAGCAAATGCCGACAAGAGATTGATAGCTGCAGAAAGGCCGATGTCTGTAATAGTCGCCATTTTCTTTCCTTAGAAGCACTCGATCTGCAGTCTGCATCCAAATTTGGAGTTATCGATGAGATGATTGAATTCCAATGTGCTCCCACGCTAGTAAGCAAGCATTTTGTAAACAAATATTGAGTCGTAGAAACTGCTTGAATTTGAATATTTAATCCTTATAACAACTTTATTTGCGAAAAACACAAACAATAATAGAAATATATCTGCATAAAAAATTGATGAAAATGGATTTAGTTATAACGAAATTTTCCGTAAAGGCAATGATCTTAATTAACAGGCATAAACTTGTGAACAAATATTCATTACACGAGACGTACAACATGCGCGAATTTCTAAGACAAAAATCCAGGTTTAGATCGCATCAGAATACATATTGAAGGAACTAAGAAACAAAGAAAGGCGAGCTAGGGAATCTTCATGCGCCGATGATTTAGATGGTGTTGGTTAACGAGTAGTTGTGAAGAGATAAATTGTAAGTAAATTTGTTGATTCGCACTTTATCGAATAAACGACCTGCTTGAATCCTGGAAAAGATTACTGACCGGCGTTGTCGTGCTTTCCCTGTGTCCAAACAAGAGGTAACCGGAAAAACAACAGGAAATGCAGAAGCTCGCCGGGAAGACCACCTCCGAAAATTACGGTTACGAACTTCCTGAGAATTGTCCGGTCTCTCAGATTGTGGATCGCATGACAACAGAGCCATTGAGCTTATGGCAGGAGGATCGGAACCATGTATCATTTTTCTTTTTTGGGGCAAGGAACCATGTGTCATTGCTACGACGCTTTTTCTAGTTTTTGACTCGCCAGTCAAACGACTTCCATTTCCATGCCGAAATTAAGGAGTTAAACCATATAATCAGTCTATAACAAATTAAAAATATATATAATAATAAATTCATTAAAGAATTAAATAATGAGAAATCACGTAGAATTTATCATTTATGAATGAATGCTTAATTATTTCTTTTAATTGATAAAAAAATTAAATCATAAATAATCGCATATAATTTTTTTTTAAAAAAAAAAACTAAGATAATACTCTCATCCGCGTCCACACGCCGACACGCGCAGAAGCCGAACCGTAGAATAATACTACTATAGTTGGCAAGAAGATCACGTTTAACTGCACACATGTACAGGGAGATAAAACACGCGGAAATGCCGATACTCGAGAGTTCAGCACACACAAAGTTCCATAAAGCAACATTTTCACGTAAGATTGCATGGCCCAGAAAAATGAAATGTGTATACGTCAATTTGAACCAAGAAGCTAAGCAATCATATCCTAATGGGCCTTTCCACACATATAATTGTTCATCATCCCGGTGACACCGCCTCCACATATCTAACTCGACCTGGGAACAGGGAACTAGAACTAAAATAACTATCACAAATGATCATGTACAAGCCCTACGCTGATGACTACAGAAACTGAAGCGAGAAAAAGGAGGTGGATAAATACTCCATGTCAAGCCCACCAGTAGTGGTGCGGAGTAATAGCGCATCTCACATTCGCCTTCAGTGAAAAACTGGGCCGTGCTACCGAAGACGAGTCAGATTCCGTGGTTCTGGTCAATGATTTGTTATTTGTGGCCAGAGATTCGCCCACTATGCGGGCCCATCTATGTCCTCCCCAGTCGAGCTCAAACTTCCATTCGTGGCCGTCCGATCATTCGGGTCAATCCTACGGACACCATCCTGACCCTCATCGTCACTTGCGCCATCGTCATCCTCGTCGTCTGCGTCAAGATCGTTCTCGTCCGACGACAACGGTACTAGCCAACAAGCTCCATGCAAGTGCCCATTCACACACACGAAATACTCCAACCCTCCGTCATGCGAGCCCAGCCTCCTCGCCGCGCTCTTCGGAACCAGCCTGGCCTTGGTCATGCTCCATACGCGGGCCCCACAATATGGACACCTCACCCCCTGCTCCAGATCCACTTGCCGTCGGATCAAGCACGCTCTCGTCCTGGATCTCATAAATCCCTGAAATATCCCTCTGTATACTCCTAAATCATCTTCCATGTCCCCCATCCGATGCTCGCACGGATCGCTCACATATAACAGGTCTCCTCTGAACCTTTTTTTCAAGAAGCTCTGACCCGACGTCTTGGAAAATCTGGACGCTTTCACTAAGTGACCCGCCACTGGATGACTCACCTGGAAGTGGCCGGCGGGCCGGCAGCCGCAGCAATAAAACATGAGCTTAGCGAGCGCATCCCACCCACCTCCAATTCTTCCATTCGGTGCACCACTGCTCAATGCGGCTACCATGCGCGGCGCTCGGTACATGCACATCGCTCGCCAGAGGAGTCGCTTGGCCATCGCTCGAAGCTTCTGGTTCAACGACGCGGTTACGCAAAGGGTGCGCAGGTCCCATTTGATAGATTCGAAGACGAGAATGAGGACGCGCTCGTTGAGGATGCCGGAGTCACCGGACTCAGATCCCCCACTGGGAGGGTTGTGCCGGAGTCGCCGGTTCGAATTCATTTGGGCAGACGCGGTTGTCTTGGGAAGGACATGCTGTATTTGCGGGTTTAAATAATCCGGTGCGGATGATCAGCGACTCAACACGTGTCGGTCAGTGAATGGTTTATGTCCGAATCCTGCTGATGAAAGGTACACGTTGCGTCTTGTTATTCGCTGGTGGACATGTGGAGGCAGCTCATATTTTACTGAAATGCCGTGAAAGAGAATCGAGGAGTAACGTCATTGATGGGAGGGAGCAGCAATTATCTGCCACGTGTCCAGTTAGACTGAGGACTGAAAATATCTTTTTTGTGGCTCGAAAATATCAAGGGGGTTGCGTGGCTGGGCCGAAGGACTAGAATTATCCACAATATTATAATCGCACTGAACCCGCTAATGGTGCCTGTACACGTGGGGGAAGCAGAGGGCAGCACGTGTGGGGGATAGAATGAGTATTCTTGTTGTGGAAAGGGGGGAATTGGGATGATCACGTGGGCGAGGGGATGGGCAAAGAGTGGGGGCGTACTGGCGTAGTGGGGGGTGGAGGAGAAAAATAAAAGTGGTTGGTCGTGGTGCGGAATGGAGCGTCTTTGAGGCATTGTCAGGTAGCGGATACGAATGACAAAGCTAATGATCAGCTTTGTCTTCGCGGACATATATATTTTATTTATTTATTTATTTTGAAAATTTTGGCCTTTTGCCCTGCTCCTGCGTATGGAATTACTATTTCTGGCTGTGCATGTGCAGGCGTAATCATTGAGCGGCAGGTGCAGGCTACGCGGTTGTGGTTTGTTTCATTCCCATCACCGTGATTTCACTTTCCCCCACCCGCCATCACTCTGTTTCTCAACTTGCTCTGATTTTTTATTAATTTAATAAGATTAATTCAATTTTTAATCTTTTAAATTTTTATTTATTTTGATTTTAGTTTCTCAAATTTTAAATCATAGATTTTGATTCTTTAAGCTACTTTTTGTTTAAGTTATCAGTCTTTATAATTTAATAAAAATTTTGATTGTCTTTTTGAGAGATACAAACATATAATTCAAAACTTGAGGAATCAAAACTAAGATAAAAGCAAATTTGAATCAAATATTATAATTAACTTGTAGTTTTAGTGTAAATTATTTAAGAGAGTATTGTTAAAAAAACTAATACACATTTTTGACAAATAATCAATCTAACTTGTTTTCTTAATATATCCATTTTAGATTAGCTATCCAATGTCATGCATATAGTTTAAAACAGATATTATATAAAATATATCATGATAAAATGTTCAATTAAAACACACCCATAGATAATTGAAGAAAGAGAGACATGGCGCGTTTTAAGGTTGTCGGATTCATAATTATTTTTATTGTATCATTAACGAAATGCTATCTCGGTTCTTAATATAAGAGTTTTTAAATTTTTATTTTGATCTTAAATATAATATCTTAATCTACTTTATCTCTCATATTTATTTTTTTAAGATAGTCATTACCATAATAGTAGTTCTAGCTAATACAATTTATTAGCAAAAATATTTTAGGAAAGACAACGCATATCTATTACAAATAACTAATTTAATTAATTTTTTTAATCTACTTAAATTAATCAGCTAGTTTTTATATTAAAGACTGAAAGTAGTGGCCAACATTCCTTAAAATTTTTATGAGTGATAATTATTTTGGTGAAGAAAACTTCCAGATTGCGTATTTTAAAACAGATGTACCTAATAAAAATATGCACACGCACATGCATGTGTGTTATAATTAGAAGTACCTTAAAACGTGCATATATACAGACATACTCCTCTGGTCTTATTTATAAAGCACTTTGAATATATTTTATATAGACAAAAAAAATCTTAATTAAACTGCATTAACTATTCATTAAAATATAATAATTTTTCAACTTTACTCCTATGTAATATATACACTTTAAAAAAAAATAACTATCTACGCTATAATAAATAAATGACAATATAGTACATTCATGGTAAAAATTTAATAAAATAACTTATAAATAGAACTAAAAAAACCTTCTCTTTTTGTTTTATAAATAGGACAAGAGGGGTGTGTGTATTAATATGTATATTTATATTTATATAATTGTGTTTTTCAGTGCCAATAATACGGATTAGCTTTGACCATTGAGATGTGACAAAATGCATACCTAAACCCGTACCAGCGAGCTTGGTGGCCAAAATGCCAATCAAAGTGCAGGATCACCCAGCACCTATCGCAACCTATTTTACCACCTTTAGTATTTTTTTTTCCTTTGCAGTGCGTGGTTGATTTTGAAAATTTTTATTATATCATCATTAGTGTTACTTTCTGCACTGCATTTACCATTTTTTATCCAATTATTTATATCGATTTTGCATATCAACGTGCGTAATTAATAAGATTAGTTGTGAAAAATGATGATATTTCAATGAAACGAATATCTTTTACAAGTATATGATTTAACTATTTCTTTAATTTTAATAAAATAATTGCTTAAGATAAAATCTTAGAAAATAACACTTGAATTTTAAAATCTCAAATTTCAAATTAGTCTTATTTACCTACTTTTTAATAGTGATTAACTATATTTGAAAAGTAAATCACAACACATTTTTCAAAGAATTCTTAATTTGGGATTTTAAAATTTAAGTGGTATTTTTTAAGATTTTCATATTATTTAATTCATATATTTAGGATAAAAGCATACAGATATTTCATTTCAGAGCTCTTTATATGAATCATTGAATAAGACTTAACATGTTAAGTACATTTGTATGTATTGAATGTTTAATAACGTATAAAATGAAATATATCTGCACACAATTGAACACATGTTGCTTATTAGAATAAGAGCTGCACACCTGTTCAAGGATATGGGTCATTAGGTCCATTTAGGTGATAAACTTTATAATAAGAAAGTTTATAGTAAATTTCCTAATAATGAAGAGTACTATTTTTTTTTGGTTCGGCCAAATCTCACGGTCTATTATTCCCTTAATTGAAGCTTTTTTTTCCCCAATAGCCCTTAATTGAAGCTTTGGATTCATAATTTCGCACTTAAAAATTTTTAAGAGAGTTGTTTGATATAGATTTAGCTATTATGTCCAACAAGCACTAGTAATTTTATATATAAATAAATAAAATGTATTCAACATTTTCAAATATTTTATCGGTACGTCTAATATCCTGAAATATTTTTTTCTTGATACTAGATATATCAAAAAAAATATTTTTAAGTGTTAGACACATCTAATAAAATATTTTGAAATGCTAGATGTATTAAAAAATATTTTAAAATACTAGATATACTTAAAAAAATATTTTAAAGCACTTAATGTATCATAAAATATTTTAAAATACTAAATACATCCTTAAAAAAAAAGTATAGAGCGCCCCCTCAATCCTTTATAAAATAATGTGCATGACAAGTGAAACGATCCTCAATCTACATTCGACAGTAAAAAAATACATAAAGAAATAACCAACGGGCATAACGACAGAAGATATTTTCTGACCCGCGTCGACAGCACATCGCAAGGAGTATATTAGTGGGTACCGCACCTGATGCATGGAAGTGAGAAACGGTACGAACATCAACACAAAGTTGCCTTCTTTAAAAATGCCACGTTTCCCGTTTGATTAGCTGCTCCTGGGACACGTGTTGGTATCTTCATCATTCGTATCGGGTCATAATGGGAAGATTGAAAAGATTTATGGAGAATATTCGTCTGGATCTCCTTATCGGAGGACACGTGTCACGTCAAAAATGCTGTTGGTCTGGGTCCTTACACGTGGCATCGGGTGGCCTCACTTATCTTACAGTGAGTCCTTTTTTTTTTGGGTCAGAAATCTTACAATGATTCGGAATCTTTCCTCCTCTTTTCTATTCTTTTTTCTCTTTTTTTATCCAATAAATTATTATTTTTAATGATTTATAAAAAAATTTTAAAAACATTTAGTACACTTTCAAGCTATTAGAATTAAATTTTAATATAGTTTGTATTTTATTATTTTTTTTATAATTTAATATTTTAATAATAGTTTTTAAAAAATTTAAATCTAAACTGTTAAAATATTAATTTGACAGTTAAAAAAAAAAAAAGGGTAAGAAGGAAAGAGGAGAATTCCAAACCAATCTCCACATGCCCCCAGATGCCGCTCGTCGTAGGTTACGCCGATTTGTAGGGGCACCGCGTGGCATCTTTTTATTTTATGAAAACTTTACAGGTATTAACTAATACTTTTTCAATCCTTAATATAAGACTCATTTAACTAATTTGATTAGATTAAGAAAGTTAGGTAAGTTAGTTAATTATGAGAAATGTGATGCGTTTTTTCTAAAACACCATAATCATCTTTCTTAATACCCCATCTCCCTCTTCTACTTGATTATAGTTGAGGGAGTATCTATAGGGGTAATTTAGAGAAAATTGATAAATATGAGAAATGGGTATTATATTTAAAACCAAAACCAACTCAATAATTGGGTCCTATATTAAGGACCGGAGGAGTATTTTTTTCGTTTTTTATTATAAGATCTAATTTTTTAAATTGGTTTGTTCTTTCTTATAAGATTCTCTTTGAGTTTGTCTAAGCATTTAATACAGTATTATTTATTTTATTCATAATTTAATGTATTTAGGGAAAACCATATTAGAGGTACCTATATTTTTTGTAAATTTTCAACGTGGTACCTATATGTTTTTTTGTTCTTAACTAAATCTTTAATGTTGCTCAATTAACATCATTAATCCTTATATAGAGACTAAAAATGCCAATAGAACAAAGTTATAAGAGCTAATGTTGCTAAAAAAAATAAAATTAAATGTTTAATCAAGAGTAAAAAATACATAGGTACCAAATTAAAAATTGAGAGAAAGCAGAGGTACCTATGATATGGTTTTCCCATGTACTTAATACATTCTCTTTCTTCATTCATCTCACTATTACTCTTTTACCTTTATCCATTTATATATAGGGGTATACTTGCTACATATTAATTATTTTTAACTAATTTTAATTATTTTTTTAAATCCTATA